TTAAAAAATAAATTGGTTTATATTTGTGTTGAGATATTTTTTGAAGTATTTATGGATGTAATGCTCTTATTAATTATACTAAATAAAAGAAGCTGTTTGGGGTTCAAGAAGCTATCCACTTCAGAAAAAAAAAATCTCTTTATAATTGTGTCACGTCAATCAAAAATCCAGCCCCAAATCGATGACATGTCAGCAAAACAAAAATTGCCTAAAATGTTGCCACGTAAGCACAACCATTTTCCTTAAGACGTAAACACTTTTGCAGCCACCCACGTCATCCACTCAACCGGTTGAAAATCCAGCCCCAAATCGATGACATGTCAGCAAAACAAAAATTGCCTAAAATGTTGCCACGTAAGCACAACCATTTCCCTTACGACGTAAACACTTTTGCAGCCACCCACGTCATCCACTCAGCCAGTCAACCGGCCGAAAAAACATCTTATCTCCTTCCCTGATCATACGAAGTGGTTTGGCTCAAAACAGTATAAGTTTTAATACATAATAAACTCATCGTCTCCCACATGGGCACGATCTCTTCGGTTTGTAGCTTCCCGATCTCTCATTTTTAGCACCCATCACGTAACATAATTATAGATTGATTCAGTGTCATTCTTTCCACTTCAATTCTAAATCTATATTTCGCATTCATAATTTACGGACGATGGGAATCATTTTTTCTCCTTCTCTTCAGTTTATAGGTTTCTGAGATCTGCCTCTAACCAATGTATTGAGTTCATATTTATTTTTTCTCATTGCAGGCTGATGAACAATGCCTCGACGTAACATTCATACCAAAAAAAGAAAAACAATGCCTCGACGTTGACCAAATCAGAACCATGGCTGAACGCATTGACATCTTTCGGTAAGCGACAAACAGGAACGAGAAAACAAGATATGTCCTGAAAGCTAGTGTTTAGTGTCTCTTTATTCTCGATTTTTTGCATATACTAATTTACTAATCCTCTTCATTCCTACATAAATTATATCGCATATTTTGCTTTAAAGCTGGCCTTGAAGACGATGTCGCCGGAGCAAGGCATGACTGACAAGTGAATTTCACCAATGGTGATGAGATCAAAGGTAGCGATAGCGCAAACTGCTTGTGGAGCCCCAAATAGCTTCAATTCTTTTATGTGTTTGTCTACCAGCTTTCATGAATCATCCCAACAAGTTTGGTAGAAAATGCTCACAGGTTAAATACAAGAATTCTTCTCCCCCGAGTAAGTTATTTTACTGAATTTCTTAATCTGCATTTTCTCTCCTGTCATTTCTCATAAATGTTTTCTATTACTCATGTTGTTCGAAATTTGTTTTACCATCAAGATTCTTGATTTACTTTGGTCTTTCCTTTTCAAAACCAGTGAGTTTCTTCTACCCCAACCTCATTTCGACTTTTATCAGAAAAAAAAAGAAACAAAGGTTATATTAATTATCTCTCTCTTTGCAATATGTCTACACGTGTTGAATGGTGCTTTAAATCTCTAATAACATTTTTTCCTTGCTATGTTGATTTCTTAATGAAACTCCAACATGTGTCTCCTATATGTCTTTGTTTCCCACAGCTGTAGGAGATTGTATGTACACAGAAAGATACATGTAACCTGTTTTGATTCTTACAATTTCATTGTCAGGTTAATATACCCCGAAATGCAACAAAAATGCAAGCAAAAGAAGGTGATGGCTGGGCTGCAAAAGTAAGAAACGAGGCACTGCCGAAGAAAAAAAGCCCAAGAAAGTATGACCAATAATATATACAATTCGTGTAGTAGTCATGGAAGAGTAAGGCATCCACCAGAACAGCGGTACTAAAGCATAATTGATGACTTCTCTGTTTCATTTGTTAAACTGACAACCATCAAAATTATTAGAGTATCAGACTGAAATTACTAGATTTTTTAGTTCAAACAGTTAATTATAAATAGTTAATAGAGGTTGCAATCGAGGAGGCTCGAAGACTAATTATGTTTCTTGACAAGGAAGTCAACGGAAAAGATTTATTCTGTGGAGAGACCATCGGCTTCTTAGACAGTGGTCGGAACTATGATCACGTACTGTGATGTTCAAGCGTGATGGGAGTTGATATGATTCAAGAGGGAAAAGTTTCCAGAATTTTTTTTTTGTGAAATTAAAGAAAGTTTCCAGAATTGAACAGATGATCGATCAAAAAGTTGAATGAGGTACAGTAGAACCTCTATAATTTAATACTTTATAAATTAATAATTTTTGCCGGTTCCAAGTTGGACCAGTGTAAAAATTGACAAAATTCGATAAGATAACAAGATAATACTTTTTTTGAAAGTTCTATGTAAAAATATGATCCCAATAATAATATAAATTAATAATTATATATTTAGGCATATATTAATAATATAATATAGTAAACTATGATAATATTATTATTTCAAGTTTATAAAATTTCTTTGATTTATCTTCTAACTTCATTATTATGATATTTTTTGAATAAATTTTATATTATTAAAAATATCGATTTTATTTTTTTGATGAATATTAAAAATTCAAACTAAAAATATCTCTATAAATTAATAACTCTATAAATTAATAAAATTTGAGATTTCCAACATTATTAATTTATAGAGGTTTTACTGTAAGTTGTTATGATTTAAAGCCAACTGGATTAGATCATTATGTGTCAAAATTTTTGTGGACACTTTAACAATTACCTTTTATTTTAAAGAAAAGATTGTGTCCAAAATACTATGTTATAGCTCCAATTGGTGACATGTATTTTTAAATTTGAGTTAATAATTCGATGTAATTTACAGTAAAACTATTGGTAAAAAATAATAGATTTATGTGGTAAGTGTGTTTTATAAATCTGACCTAACATTTTTATCCAAATAGATGATTGGTAACTTTTCTAATGTATAAATTGTAGTATGTATTCTTTAACATAAATATTAATAATAATTTGAATAATAATAGTATTTTATGTGAGTAAAATAAAAATAAATGAAAATAGATTTAAAAGTTAATTATTATTTATTATAAATTTAATAAAAAAATAGATTAAATATTTTAATACTAACTTAAAATATATTAACTTAAAAGGCATCTATATATAATTATGTGGGAATACTTATTTTTTAAGTTGTAGTATATATTAGTAAAAGTAAAGTAATTTAGAATGAATAATAATGATAAATATAGATTAAATAAAATAATGATATCTTAAACATAATATATTCAAATAAAAACAAGTTAAAATTATAGATGAAGTAAAAAACATTTGAAATTTAAAAATTTGTTGTCTTGAAAAAAATATTGAGTTATCAAGAAAATAAATTAAAATTATTTTAGTTGACCAAATAATTTTTGTTGAAAATAAAATGAAAACACATATATATTTAAATTAATTTGATAAAAATAAAGCTAGCAAAATTTAAAAACTAACATAAGTGTTAAACAAAATGATAATTCAACTTCTAAATCATTTTTTTTCTTTGATTTAGCATTAACTCTAGAGTTAGCAATTTAACAAAAAAGATAACTCAAATTTTTACATCACTCATAACTCATTATAACTCAAACCTAAAATAAAAAAACCTAATAATACTTGATTTGTAAATTTTTTACGTTAGGCTCTTAACTCAAACTTTTTGGTAACTCATGTCAACAATCAGAGTCATATATAAATATATTTTAGTCACAGAGAAAATGTATTTCAGTTAAATCATAAAAAAGTGTTATATTATATTTAAAAAGCAACCGCGCGTATTATGTGGACACTTTGGTTTTCGATTTGGTTTCGGTTCGGTTTCTTCGGTTTTATGGTTTATCGGTTTTACGAAAATTTAAACTATATAAAAGCCATATATATTTCGGTTCGGTACGATTCGGTTTGGTATAGTTTGGTTTCGGTTTTTTAGAATTATACTATTACGAAATTTTTTGATTCAAACTAATGAAAATAATAATAATAGATATGAGTGAAATAAAACAATAAGTTCAAAAAATAGAATCTAAATCATAAAAAAATCCATCAATAAGAACATATTTCAAAGCAGAGAAACAAATAAATTATCAAATCTTTCATAATCAATAATTATAAAACAATAAGCAAAGCTAGATTAAAATTTAATACCTATAAGCTTGGAACTAGAACTAGAAGATTTGAATGTGAAGAAAAAAGAATTAATCACGTTTTCTTTTATTGAAAATTTAAGGTTTACTTTATTATTTATATGTAGATATTTTTATAAATATTATATTTTAAATTTATGAGTTAAATTAGTAATTTATAAAGATAACTAAGCTAAATAATAAAATATGTATTTAAACTAAATTAAAAAATTAGGAAAATATAAATTATTTAAAATTTAGTTTAAAAACCGAAAAACTTTTCGGTTTGACAGTTTTTAACCAAACTAAACATAAACCAAAACTATAAAAAATGATGACCAAATAAATATTTAGGTTTAACCATAATTAAACTATATCATTTTTTCAGTTCGGTATAATTTGATTTTTTCGGTTATGATTTTTGTGCCCACCTATAAGAGCTTGTATGCTCTACCAACAAAGGAAACATAACTTCAACGTTGTAAGCCGACTATCGGTTTAATTAAACCAAAGCTAGTTTAGTTAATTAATTGTGGTTATTATCTCTTTTTCAGTTTTTCTTTTTCTGATATTTAAAAATAATTTATTGTAATAACCAAAATTGCCAAAGTTCACCGTTGAAAACGCGTCGCTTTCTCTTTCGTTTCCCTCTCTTCTCGTTCCCATGTATCCCTCCCTTCCTCTCTTGCTTCCTTTGGTTTATGTTTGAAAATCAATTTCGATCATCAGAAATAAAACAAAGACGTCAACAAAAGTAAATTATCAGGAAAACAAAAAATTCAGTTCAATTTAATTCAATTCACAGTTCAGAGAGACAAATTTCAATTTTTGTTTTTTTAAATCGGTTTTTTTATATCTCGGATTTGAAATCGAAGCGGAAGAAAATCTGGTTAAAGTAACGACGGTGGGTTGTGGCGATGGATCTGAGTCTAAATTTACGCATTGTGGCGGTTGTTTTCACGGTGTTGATCCAATTTGCTTCCGGGAACTTCGTGTTTAACGTGACGCATAAGTTCGCCGGAAAAGATAAACAGTTGTCGGAGCTTAAATCTCACGACAGTTTCCGTCACGCTCGAATGCTTGCGAACGTCGATCTCCCTCTCGGTGGCGATAGCCGCGCCGACTCAATCGGGTTTTCTTCTAGATCCAATCGCTATTTCTTTAAATTGTTTGCTTAATTTGGTCTCTGAACTCAGGAATTTTGGTAAATAGTTGACATTTTATAGTTCGCATTGGATCATACATTGATTTGGAAAGAACCCAAATGCGGAAACTAGGAGAATGCAATGAATGTGATTTTGGATTCGATCTTTGTTCTTATGGTTGATTTGGGGAAAACCCCAAATGCTGAAACTACGAATTGCAATAAATGTGTTTCAATAATTCGATTTTTGTTCTTATGATATTACATTTGCTTAATTTGGGGAAAACCCAGATGCTGAAACTAGGAAAATGCAGTGAATGTGTTGTAAGATTAGATCTTGTTCTTATGAGATTACATTTGCTTGATTTGGGAAAAATCCAGATGCTGAAACTAGGAGAATGCAATGAATGTGTTTTAAGATTGGATTTTTGTTCTTATGGGGTTAGATTTGCTTAATTTGGGGAAAACCCAGATGCTGAAACTAGGAAAATGCAGTGAATGTGTTGTAAGATTGGATCTTTGTTCTTATGGGAGTACATTTATTTGATTTTGTTTTTTCAGTTTGTACTTCACCAAAATCCAGCTTGGGTCACCACCAAAAGATTATTATGTTCAAGTTGATACAGGAAGTGATATACTTTGGGTCAATTGTGCACCTTGTCCCAAATGTCCTGTGAAAACTGATCTTGGTGTATGCTTCTTTCTTAACCTTTGTTTATTAAAACTTAGGAGCTACATTTCAGAAATCTCAGATGTATGTATGTTTTGTTTGCTGTGTAGATACCTTTATCATTGTACGACTCAAAAGCTTCCTCCACTTCGAAGAAAGTTGGATGTGAAGATGATTTTTGTTCCTTCATTACGCAATCAGACACTTGTGAAGCCAAGAAGAAGCCATGTAGTTATCATGTGGTGTATGGAGATGGAAGTACAAGTGATGGAGAGTTCGTGAGAGATAACATTACAATAGATCAAGTCACTGGAAATCTCCGAACAGCACCCCTTGCGCAGGAAGTTGTATTCGGGTGAGCATAGCATTACACTTACGATATTGCTCTGGTTCTATCCAAATCTCTATTTGCTTATTCCTTTGGGATGCATTGTTGTGTGTTGCTTAACCTCTACATATGACATCTTAGAGCGTGTGAGTTCTGGCTTGTTTACCATAGGTTATGAGCCTGATCATAAGGATTTTAATGTGAGACAGGTGTGGAAGTAATCAATCTGGACAACTCGGACAAACTGACTCAGCAGTTGATGGCATTATGGGATTTGGACAAGCAAATACCTCTATCATCTCACAACTAGCTGCCGCAGGGAATGTGAAGCGGATTTTCTCACATTGCTTGGACAATATGAATGGAGGTGGAATTTTTGCTGTTGGTGAAGTGGAATCTCCAGTAGTGAAAACAACTCCTTTGGTTCCTAATCAGTAAGTGAGACCATCTTAAGTAACTCGTTTTGTTAGTTAAGAAACTAGAGTTTGAGTCTTTCCCGTTTACTGAAGATCTTTTTGGTCTCTGCCTTCTCTTTGTGTCACTGAAGACCTTCATGGTCTCTGCCATCTCTCTGTGTTGCTTATAATCTGTGAGATTTGATTCTTAATATAGGATTGAATGTAGAAACGTCTAGTTCGTCTAAAGGCTTAAGCATTTGTACTTGCGGTGTATACATTTTTGAGTGCTGTCTCTTGTAATAACTTTCTCCAACAATATTAGGGTACATTACAACGTCATATTAAAGGGAATAGATGTGGATGGTGATCCTGTTGACCTCCCACCAAGCTTAGCTAGTTTTGGCTCAAATGGAGGAACTATAATTGACAGTGGGACAACTTTGGCTTACTTACCACAGACTCTGTACAGCGCACTACTTGACAAGGTATAAAAAAACTCTTCTCGCTCTTTGGTTTTTAGTTTATCATCACAAACCCTTACAAGGTATTTTCTGTATATAGATTACTGCTCGGCAGCCAGTGAAACTGCACATGGTACAAGAGACTTTTGCGTGTTTCAGTTTCACTTCAAAGTAAGATGACTTTGTCTATAGTCTCCAAGTACCACTCTTCATTTTTCATACCAACGGACCCCAAGTTATATATGGTCTTAAGTAAACATTCATCACAGATACAAGTGCTTAAGAAGAAGCTTGAACGCTTGGATCTGGACTATTACATGCCGCGAGCTTTCTTGTTTTATTCGGTGGAATATGCTAAAGTTTTCTTCCTTGTACCTGCAGCACAGATAAAGCGTTTCCCGTAGTCAATCTTCATTTCGAGGACTCACTGAAACTGACTGTTTATCCTCACGACTATCTCTTCTCACTTCGTGTAAGTCATTAGACAGCTTCTTACTTTGATCAATAGATCCGAGCAAGATAGATGAAACCTGTTCTTGCATATCTATTCAGAGAGTTCTTGCTCTTGTATACATTTTTGTCTCATCCACAAAATTGATCTCTCTTATTTTTCCTTTCTCGAAAACAGGAAGATATGTATTGCTTTGGTTGGCAGTCTGGTGGCATGACGACTCAGGACGGATCCGATGTAATCCTTTTGGGAGGTAAATTATCAAATCATACTATTAAGTAACACTTTCATTGGATATTGCTGATCATTATAAATCATCTGCATTTGACGTTTCATAAAGGCTTAGAACAAGATTAATCCTTATCTGCTTTTACTTTGCGATCAGATTCCTTTTAATATTAGCCGCAAAAGAAATCTTACAGATGTAAGATGATAGCATTTAGACAAAAACCAGACAGAAAAGTTGTGATTTTTTGATCCCCCATGTGTTACTCTTGATGTATATAAATTCAAAATTTGGTTTCTTTAACTGTAGATTTGGTGCTTTCGAACAAGTTAGTAGTATACGATCTGGAGAATGAGGTCATTGGATGGGCAGAGCACAACTGTAAGTATTTAGAACTGGTGAGCTAATTAGATTGCAATCGATCAAAGAAAGAAATCAAACACACCAACAAAATGTTTTGTGTTTTGTGTTTTTGTTAGGTTCGTCAAGCATCAAAGTGAAAGATGGATCAGGAGCGGCTTACTCACTAGGAGCAGATAATCTCATATCAGCTTCTTCGGTGATTAGCGGAAGACTTGTAACGTTATTGTCTATACTAATTTCGGTTTTGATTTCTTTTACTTCATAGTTTTTGCTAAATGGAGGTATGTTTGGCTTTTGATTATTTGATTCATTTGATCCTTTTTGTGGATGTGATTTGGCTTCTCGAGCCATGTAATTTACATAGACAACTAACTATATATATACTCATTCTTTGTTGTATTTGTTGTATACTCACAAAGATAAATATATATGTACTGTTTTGGTCAATCTTCGGCTGTAATAAAATTATCTACTAGTCTTTAAGTGTCCATATTTACCTCGTTACCTATGGAGTGAAGAATGAAAATCGAGTTACACAAACAGAAATATTTATCAAGTAATGTTATGTTTGGCAAAAATAACTGAAGGAATGTGTTATGACGACTAACGACCAAAAAGTAATAATACAGTATATGCGCAATGCAGTTAAAATTTGGGTTTTTAGTGAAAAAAACCTTTCAACTAAAGATGTATGTGTTTTAGTGAAAAAAACCTTTCAACTAAAGATGTATCAAAGAAAAACTCTTCGACTATAGATTTAATGTAAAAACAAATCCTCAACTAGAAGTTCGTTAATGAAAAAACTCTCCCGTCTACAATACTGTTCAAATCTTAACGACCAATGCTAAATCAAAATTGTGCGTTTTGGATTGTAAAAAAATGACATGTGTTTTGTAAAATCCTAAATGGTTTTAATGATAAAAACCCTCAAGTAGAGATAAATAGAGAATCAACTGCTTATCTATAAATTTAATATGAACTCTTCTTTCTATCTATAATAACATTAATATGTATTTCAACATTATATCAAACGTTTTAGATTATTGACATGGATAGTTTTAAAATGATGTAATAATACGATACTTTGTGTAGAAAGTTGATTGAAGAAGACATATACGTCAAATTTCTTGTATAACTCAATTTATCTGGAGTTTTAAGAAATTATAATAATCTATCAAGTTGTACAAGACATTTTATATTTTTCTATATTATTTTTACAATCCAGATCATATACATTTGATTTAATATTGATTGTTTAGGTTTTAATATAATTGTAGACAGAAGGGGTTTTTCCATTAATTTAATAGTTGAGAGGTTTATTCTTTATCTATATTTTTTAGAGGTTTTCTATTAAAATTATTTGAGATTTTGCAAAACACATGTCATCTTTTTACAACCCCAAACATATAGTTTCAATTTAACATTGACCGTTAAGATTTTAACAGTATTGTAGACGGATCAATTTTTTCATTAACGGACTTATAGTTGAAGAGTTTTTACATTAAATCTATAGTTGAGGGGTTTTTCTTCGGTCCATCTTTAATTGAGGGGTTTTTTCACTAAAACCCCTTAAAATTTTGACAAAACTATTTTGTTTGTTTCCTTGCGTATGGTGTTTGAATTTAAAATTAACCTTTCAAATTGTTAAAACTAGATATGATTTATATGTTAATTTATACCAAAATTATTTATTTTTATTTTTGTTTTTTTACATATTTTTATAGGTTTTTTTTATTATCGTAGAATAAGTAAATTTATAAAATTTCTTTTTTATAATATAAATTATGATATGTTAAATATTTTAAAAAAAACAATATTTTCTTATAGTTATTTGATGCCGTAAATATCTATGTCTTTATATTAAATATTTTTATTTCATTGATTTTTTTTATGTAATTTATTTCCAGCGAAATCAATAAAATGATTCACAATCTATCCCACACTCTTTTTTTTGTTTTTCGAAATAGTTTTTTTTTAATTTTGAGATGAATTTTTAATTCTATGATTTTTTACTTTTTACAGTCTATCCCACCCTCTTTTTTGTTTTTCGAAATAATTTTTTTTATTTTGAGATGGATTTTTAGTTCTATGATTTTTTACTTTTAAACTAATGTCATGTGGAAACCCAATTTATAGTTTTTCTTCAATATAGTTTAAAGTCATTCGAGTGTGTATTCTTTTTCGCCATAGATATGCATTTTTTTTATCGATAACATCATTGATGGGTTTTAATGTTTATCTGTTCTTTATTTTTATGGATTTTAGTGTATTTTCTTTGACCTTTATGTGAATATATTTTCTTTCTTCATTATTTTCATAAGTTTTTCAAATACATTTCCATATTTTCTTTGATTCTTATTAAAATTAGTATTCTAAATTATTAATTTTGTAAAATTTAGTCCTACGTTTTTTATAACTTATTATTCTAAACTTTTTATAACTCATTCTCAAGCACAATAGTCTTACATTTTTTCCCCTTTTGTATAGATCAAATTCATTTTTATGCAACATGATTTAAAACTTTAGTCTTTTTATTTTCTCAGCAAACTTTGGTCTTTTATTCATGAAAAACCTTCATTCATTTTATAAAATATAGTAGATATGAATACTTTTACTATAGTTTTTTGCATATATATTTATACTATTTTTTTAAGTTCTATAACTATTATGTGCAAGTTTTTCCATATTTGTTTAACTTAACTTTTGTTTCCATGTTCTCAATTTTCTTTTGTTGTTAAAAGGCCTTCCACATTTTATATTTTCTTATTCAAATTAGTATTTTGATTTTTTTTTCATAAAGGACATACAGTTTTTATGTTATGTAAAATAAATATCTATTATTATTTTTCAGTTATTGTCTTAAGAAGTCCAAAAACTCTGCATAAAAATAATCTCATAAAGAGTTAGTATCATATGAAAACCCAAGATATTTAAAAGTTCAAAAAATAATAATAAAAAATGATGATGTGAACACTGTAGATGGAGAGGAGCTCCTCTAATCTATCTATCTATTATAATAAAATAAAATCTTTTTTCTTGAGAACCAGCTCTAATATGCTGCTACATGACATATGTTATTTTTTTTAATTATTTTTATTTAGTTATCTTTCATCAAACAAATACACGAAAAAGCTTAAGTTTTTTTTTTCTTTTCTCTAAATTATTCTCTTTTATCCAACAAATAGAAACAAAAATAGAATCACTCAAACAAATCTTATATAATATAGTAAGGTTATATGTTATTTTTTCTCTTTTTCTATCTTTACAATATTCTTTTTTATCGAACAAACACAAAAACAACATTTAATTTTTTTCTCTCAAAATAAAGTAAGGTTTTTTAAAAAGCAGCTTTGATATGCTGTTATGTGGCATCTAAGAAAATGACATATGTCACTTTTGTTTTTAACTATAAAAATATAAAAACAACTATGATATACTATCACGTGTTATCCTAGAAATTGAAATGCGTCACATTTTCTTTATTCTTTTTTTCCTATTTCTACTAGATTTTTTTTTATCCAACTAACACAAAAATAAAAACTTCTATCTTTTTTTCTTTCCAATAATTCTCTTTCATTCAACAAATATATACAAAAAGCAAACTATCCAACAAAGTACAAATCTTATATGATATAGTAACGTCAAGTGTCATTTTTTTTTATCTCTTATGTTTTCACTTTCATCGAGCAGATACGAAAACAAGGTTTCAGTTTTTTTTTCCTTCTCCACTAGATTCTCTTTTATTATATCTCTTATATCATATTATTTTAGTTTAAAAAAAACAAAATTTAAGAGATGACTGTGTCATCCTTTGTATCCAGAAAATAAACTCATTTCTTCTTTCTTTATGGCTAATCAAACAAAATAATTAGGCACTATTTGCTTTTATGAAATATTTTTACATGAATAGCTCATTACTTCATTTCCTACTTACTGTATCGAACCTCAAACTACCACCACTATCATAATATGAATTCTACTCTCGAGAACCTTCTCTTCAGTCATCAATGATGTAGCTTCATTTCCATAACAAGGTGAAACCTCATATTATTATTTCACCAATCTTTTAATATAAAATTTTAATAATATTTACAACTCATAAACTAATATTTACCAACGAACTTATGCTAACAAATATAAGTAAAATAGATTGTAAAATTAAAATAGTTAATATATCACAAATCTACGCAACACGGAGACCTTCTCCTACTTATATACTATATAGTTTGTGACTTTGTAGGATTATTTAGAAATATTGTTGTTCAAATATACTAGATTACTACCCGTGCCCTGTACAGGATATTTTTAACTTATAATTTATATACTATAATTTAAACTAAAATCAGTAAATGAAAAAATATGCAATTTATAATAAAATATTTATTATTTATAGATTATTATTTATTGATTGTTACAATATTAAAAATTTTGTTTATGTAATTAAAATGTATTCTGTTAAAAAGATAATTTAAACAAGACATTTTTGATTTAGAATATTATACCTCTTTCGATGTTTGTTGAAGATTAGTTGGTTGTTTTTACAATATTTTTAATATTGAAGATAATTTTCATTAAATTGAATAAAAATTAATAAATGTGGAAATCAAGTATAATAAATAGGATCAATATCAAAATAATAATTAACTGATTTGGCCCAAAATTATAAAGTATAAGAAAAAATTAATTGGGCCCAAAACTAATAACGAAGCCCAGTTTTTTCCAATGCATGTATTTCCATATTTTGTCCGAAGAAGACAAAAAATGTTCAGATCTCTCTGTTTCTTTCCTTTTCTTCGCGAGAGTTCTACTCAGGAAAACATTCCATAAACTGACGAATCGATCAAACTTTCACGTTTTTTATCAATCATCTATCTTCATTCAATTATTCGTTTATCGGAACAAAAAACCTGTCATCGACCTTCTGAAAATCCGATCTGAAACTGTTCATTTAGAAGGTAAAGTGTTTTGGTTTGAAAAAAAAAACTGACGATTTAGGCATTTTACTTCTTCAATTTAATCTTTGTGATATCTGATCCAAGTATCTAAATCTGCGAACCTTACTAATTTAATCCAATATTTGTTTTCATGGGATGATGGTAAGAATTGATATCGGTCTCTCGCAGAAGCTGATAAGAAGGAAGCTAAATTCATGAAGAACAACAACGAAGAAGGTAAAATTAGTAATGAAGATCCAATGAAAAAAGTAATTTCTTATTATTTCGTAGTACGATCTATTCATCTATGTTGTAAAACAAAAACCTAACA